CCATGAGGCCACAGTGCCATTTTTGCTGAGTTGCAATGTGACGCAGAGCCTTGCAGAAATATGCCTTGCGCATATTAAGTCAACACAATTTATGACTAATGTTGGATTGCGCTTGGCTTTGTGAACGGCTTCTGAAGATGTGCGTTTGAGTCAAATCCTGCAAATGGAATCCTTTTGCAAAATCACTCAAGACAACAAAGGAAAAGCTTAAAGAAGAGTGGAAGAAGTGAGAAAGAGTGTAGGCCTTGAACAAAGGCTGCTCCACTTCCTGCAAAATGAAAAGGCAGACGAATATACATATCTTGATGGGGAAAACCTCACATTGTGTGATGGGGCATCTACACTGCAGGATGGAGGCACTTTGGCACCACTCCCAATGGCTCAATGCAGAGAAGGCTCACGGCCTTGCAAAATGAAACTTACCAGCATCCCAAGAGGTATCAAACTGCATTAACTGTATACTGTAGATGCATCTGAAATGTGAGAAGAAGCCACAGGGAGGAGGGAGCAAGCTTGTTTTCTGCTTCCCTGGAGACTAGGACGCAGTGGAACAATGGCTTCAAACTACAAGAAAGGAGATTCCATCTGAACATGAGGAAGAACTTCCTGTGACAGCCGTTCAGCAGTGGAACTCTCTGCCCCGGAGAGTGGTGGAGGCTCCTCCTTTGGAGGCTTTGAAGCAGAGGCTGGATGGCCATCTCTCAGGGGTGCTTTGAATGTGATTGTCCTGCTTCTTGGCAGAATGGGGTTGGACTGGATGATGACCCACCAGGTCTCTTCCAACTCTAGGATTCTATCTTGTGATGGAGGCTCTTTCTTTGGAGGCTTTGAGGCTGGATGGCCATCTATCGGGAGTGCTTTGAATGTGATTGTCCTGCTTCTTGGCAGAATGGGGTTGGACTGGATGATGGCCCACCAGGTCTCTTCCAACTCTAGGATTCTATGAACGGAACTAGGGCAGTTCATCTGGGGCCAAAGTGCTAACCTGAATGCCTAACCCCACTGTTTATTCTTTTTGGGTTCCCCATAATTACAATATTTTCTTCCCTGCCTCATCCAGGGTTTTATCATTTTACCTCCTCCATTTGGCCTGCCCATTCTGTTTGATTTTATATTGTATTAATTTGTTTTATTTATCCTAATTTGCTACTGTATGTATTTTATTTTGATGTAATTTTTTGTTACCTGCATTCTGTATTTTATTTTGTTGTGTTGCATCTTTGGGCTTGGCCTCATGTTAGCCGCCCCGAGTTCCCTTTGGGGAGATTTTTTTTTGTTGTTGTGTCAGGAGCGACCTGAGAAACTGCAAGTTGCTTCTGGTGTGAGAGAATAGGCCGTCTGCAAGGATGTTGCCCAGGGGACGCCTGGATTATTTGATGTTTTATCATCCTTGTTGGAGGCTTCTCTCATGTCCCCGCATGAGGAGCTGGAGCTGATAGAGGGAGCTCATCCACAGTCTCCCTGGATTTGAACCTATGACCTGTCAGTTTTCAGTCCTGCCAGCACAGGGGTTTAACCCACTGCACCACTGGGGCAATGGTGGCGGGGTATAATTAAAGATTATTATTATTATTATTATTATTATTGACGCAAAAACACAGTATGTCACAGCAAACGAGATCTCTCTGCTGGATTTCGTATCACAAAATCACAAGTCAAACCCTTCCCAAGCATTTAGGACTGTGTGATATATTTCCGAATGATGTGCACAGATCCAAGTCAGGTGGACTTGACAGATCATGATTTTGTCAATGTTTATTGTTTCCAAATGCCGGCTAAGATCTTTTGTCACGGCACCCAGTGCGCCCATCACCACTGGGACCACCCGGACTGGTTTATGCCAGAGCTTTTGCAGTTATTGTTGTTGTTATGTAACACTATGTAACAAAATTTGAAAAATGTTTTGTTCCTGGTTTGAAAGGGTTATTTCCCATGTAATTGTGTCTCCCTCCTGGACACACAGAAGACGGGGCGACTTGGAAGGCGCTGAACAGACTGCTCGGGCACCACGACGTGCAGAGCCAACCTCAAGAAATGGGGCCACAGAGTGGAGTCCACGACATGCGAGTGTGGAGAAGAGCAAACCACAGACCACCTACTACAATGCGGCCAGAGCCCTGCCACATGCACCATGGAGGACCTTCTCACAGCCACACCAGAGGCACTCCAAGAGGCCAGATACTGGTCAAAGGACATTTAATATAATTGCCAAGTTTTAAAACTTTGTGTAACTTCCACTCACATATTTATACTTAGCTCACATCATGTCTCCTCTCAGCCTTCTCTAATTCATGCTAAACATGCTCTTTAAGCCACTCCTCATAGGGCTTGTTATATGTGAGAGGAAGCCACAGGGAGGAGGGAGCAAGCTTGTTTTCTGCTTCCTTGGAGACTAGGACGCAATGGAAGAATGGTTTCAAACTACAAGAGAGGAGATTCCATCTGAACATGAGGAAGAACCTCCTGTGAGAGTTGTTCAGCAGTGGAACTCTCTGCCCTGGAGTGTGGTGGAGGCTCCTTCTTTGTCAGGGGTGCTTGGAATGCAATATTCCTGCTTCTTGACAGAAAGACTGGATGGCCCAGGAGGTCTCTTCCCACTCTAGGGTTCTAGGATTCTGTGTTCTCCAGACCCTTGATCCTTTGAGTCGCCCTTCTCTGGACACATTCCACTGCTGAAGAGCTCTCTCTTTCACAGTGAGGGAGTTCTTCCTCATCTTCAGCTGGGATCTCTTTTCTTTCCTCTTGGCACGGCCTCCCATCCAAATCCAACCCAGGGCCAGCCCTGCATAACCTCAGGAGGGAGAGTTCCACTGCTGAAGAAGAGCTCTCTCTTTCACGTCCTCAACTTCACAGGGAGGGAGTTCTTCCTCATCTTCAGGTGGGATCTCCTGTCTTTCCTCTTGGCACGGCCTCCCATCCAAATCCCAGCCAGGGCCAGCCCTGCTTAACCTCAGGAGGGAGAGTTCCACTGCTGAAGAAGAGCTCTCTCTTTCACGTCCTCAACTTCACAGTGAGGGAGTTCTTCCTCATCTTCAGCTGGGATCTCCTGTCTTTCCTCTTGGCACGGCCTCCCATCCAAATCCAACCCAGGGCCAGCCCTGCTTAACCTCAGGAGGGAGAGTTCCACTGCTGAAGAAGAACTCTCTCTTTGACGTCCTCAACTTCACAGTGAGGGAGTTCTTCCTCATCTTCAAGTGGAATCTCTTGTCTTTCCTCTTGGCACGGCCTCCCATCCAAATCCAACCCAGGGCCAGCCCTGCTTAACCTCAGGAGGGAGAGTTCCACTGCTGAAGAAGAGCTCTCTCTTTCACAGTGAGGGAGTTCTTCCTCAACTTCAGGTGGAATCTCCTGTCTTTCCTCTTGTCATGGCCTCCCATCCAAATCCAACCCAGGGCCAGCCCTGCTTAACCTCAGGAGGGAGAGTTCCACTGCTGAAGAAGAACTCTCTCTTTGACGTCCTCAAGTTCACAGTGAGGGAGTTCTTCCTCATCTTCAGGTGGAATCTCCTGTCTTTCCTCTTGGCACGGCCTCCCATCCAAATCTCAGCCAGGGCCAGCCCTGCTTAACCTCAGGAGGGAGAGTTCCACTGCTGAAGAAGAGCTCTCTCTTTCACAGTGAGGGAGTTCTTCCTCATCTTCAGCTGGGACCTCTTTTCTTTCCTCTTGGCACGGCCTCCCATCCAAATCCCAGCCAGGGCCAGCCCTGCTTAACCTCAGGAGGGAGAGTTCCACTGCTGAAGAAGAGCTCTCTCTTTCACGTCCTCAGCTTCACAGTGAGGGAGTTCTTCCTCATCTTCAGCTGGGATCTCCTGTCTTTCCTCTTGGCACGGCCTCCCATCCAAATCCAACCCAGGGCCAGCCCTGCTTAACCTCAGGAGGGAGAGTTCCACTGCTGAAGAAGAGCTCTCTCTTTCACAGTGAGGGAGTTCTTCCTCAACTTCAGGTGGAATCTCCTGTCTTTCCTCTTGTCATGGCCTCCCATCCAAATCCAACCCAGGGCCAGCCCTGCTTAACCTCAGGAGGGAGAGTTCCACTGCTGAAGAAGAACTCTCTCTTTGACGTCCTCAAGTTCACAGTGAGGGAGTTCTTCCTCATCTTCAGGTGGAATCTCCTGTCTTTCCTCTTGGCACGGCCTCCCATCCAAATCTCAGCCAGGGCCAGCCCTGCTTAACCTCAGGAGGGAGAGTTCCACTGCTGAAGAAGAGCTCTCTCTTTCACGTCCTCAGCTTCACAGTGAGGGAGTTCTTCCTCATCTTCAGGTGGAATCTCCTTTCTTTCCTCTTGGCAGGGCCTCCCATCCAAATCCCAGCCAGGGCCGGCCCTGCTTAGCAACCCGGGTGCAGACCGGACTTGCATGTCTGTGGATCTGAGTGCCAAAGTCTCCAACCTGGCAAGGAGGAAGCCCAAAGAAGAAGCCCGGCCGGAGTCGGCTTTTGGGAAGAAGAAGAAGAGAAAAAGAAGGAGGGAAGGAGAAAGAGGGAAAGGAGGAGGGAGGGAGGGAGGGAGGGAAGAGGGGAGGGGGGTCGGTGCTGGGCGCCGCCCTGGGGCCGTCCTCCAAAGGGAGGCTCCCCAAAAGAAGGAGGAGAAGTCGAAGGAGGCGGAGAAGCAGAGGAGGCAGGCCAAGAGAGCGAGGCAGAGAGAGAGAGAAAGAGAGAGAGAGAGAGAGAGAGAGACCCAGCCAGGGAAAGAAGAAGGCAAGGCAAGGCAAGGCAGGCAGGCAAGGGCTCGCTTTCTCACGGCGGCTCCTTTCCCTTTTCGGAGGCAAGTCTTGCTCTTCTTCCTCCTCCTCTTCCTCCTTCTTCCTCCTCCTCCGGCCATGGCTCTAAGAGACACCGACTAGGAGCCAGCTCCACTCCTCCCTCCCTCCCTTCTTCTTCTGCCTTCCTTCCTTCCTTCCTTCTTCCTCCGTCCCTCTTTCTCCTTCCTTCCTTCCTTCCTTCCTCCCTTCTTTCTTTCTTTCTCCCTCCCTTCTTCCTTCCCTTTTTCCTCCTCCCTCCTCTTCTTCTTCCTCCTCCCCTCTCTCTTCTTCCTTCCTTCTCCCGCTCTCCTCTATCCATTCCCCTCTTCCTCCTTTCCCTCCGTCTTCTCCCATCTCGCGTTCCCTCTTTTTCTCTTCCTCCACGCCTCATTCTCTCTCTCCTTTCCCCTCTGACTTACCCCATTGCTCTTCTTTCCTCCTCCATTCCTCCACCCCTTCGTACCTCTCTCTCTCCTTCCTTCCTCCTCCTTCCCTTTTCCTTTCCCTTCCTTCTCCCCTCTTCTTCCATCCCTTCTTCTACATTCCTCGTGTCTCCTTCTCTCTCTCCTCCCTTCTTTCCCCATTCCATCTCTCTTTTCCTCTCTGACTTACCCAATCCTTCTCTTTCCTTTTTCCCTTTTTATCCATCCCTTCTTCTGTCTCCTTCCTTCTTTCTCCTCGTCTTCCTCATTCCCTCTTGCCTTTCCAACTCTTTTTTCTCCTTTCCTTCCTCTGTCTCTTCCTGCCTTCCTTTTTTTCTCACCTCTTTCCATCCTGCTTGCTTTCCTCCTCGTTCTTTTGCCTCCTTCCTTCTTTGTCCATCCCTTTTTTCCTGTCTCTTTCCTTCCTTCCTTCTTTCTTTCTCCTCTCCTTCCTCCTTTCACTCTTTTGCCTCCATCCCTCTTCTATCCCAACTAATTTTCCGCCTTCCCTTCTTCTCTCTACCTTCCTTGTGTCCTTTTCCTTCTCCTGTCTCTTTCCTTCCTTCCTTCTTTCTTCCTCCTCTCCTTCCTTCTTTCGCTCTTTTGCCTCCATCGCTCTTCTATCCCGTCTAATTTGCCTCCTTCCCTTCTTCTCCCTTCCCTTCTGACTTACCTTGTCACTCTTTTCCCTCCTTCCCTCCTCCATTCCCTCTTTCATTTTTCCTCCACTCCTTCCTTCCTTCCGTTCTCCTTCCCTCCGCCATGGAGGTCCACGTGGGGGCCCTGGGCCGAGTCTACGGCCGCCCCCCGAGTAAGACCTTCCGTGGGGCTTTCCAGAGCCTTTTCCAGAGTGTCCGGGAAGCCTTCCAGAGCCCGGTCGACCTGCCCAGCCCTCGTCACCACCAGCAGCAGCCACAGTCCTCGCCGGCCTTCCTGGCCCTAGAGGAACCCCGCAGCCCCCCCTCGGGGCCCCACAAAGCCCTGCCTGGAGGAGACCCCCCTGCCGAGCCCGCTGACCCTTCCTCTTCCTCCTCGGAGGCCCCTCTGCTGAGCTGTGTGGCCCTCCTGGGTGAGGGCCCCTCGGGGGCAGGGGACTCCTCTCCCACCCCGGAGAAGAGCGACTTCCTGGGCGAGACGGCCAAGGAGCTCTGCAAGGCGGTCTCGGCCTCTATGGGGCTGGGGGTGGAGGCCCTAGACGGGGCGTCTGTCGTGGCCGCTGGCTCCAGCGCTGAGTCCGGGGGCCCTCGTGGGGACTGCATGTTCGCCTTGGCCCCCGCCAGGCCCCTCACCGCCTGCAAGATTGTGGAGCAGCAGGAGGAAGCGGGAGGAGGAGGAGGAGGAGGCTCCGCCGGGGGCCCAACACTGGCCCTGGACCTGCCGGGCCCCCTCAGCCTCTACAAGGCGCCCCCCGAGATGGAGGAGCTGCCCACCTTCGCCGGCCGAGACTACTTCAACCTCCACATGGCTCTGGCCTCCTCCTCCGCTGCCGCCGCCTCTCAAGGGCGCAGCATCAAGCTGGAGGGCCCCATGGAGCCCCCCTTCGGGGCAGCATGGGGCCGCAGAGGTGGGCCCGCTTCGGAGATGGCACCCCACTACGCGGGGCCCCCACCCACCGCTGGCTGGCACCCCTTTTTCGCCCCCACTGAGGACCCCCAGCTCTATGTGGAGGGCCCCCCCGCCTCGGTGGGGCCCCCCTTTGGATACCCCCGCGGAAGCCAAGGGACCCCTGAAGGAGGAGGAGGAGGAGCGGGAGCAGGGGAGATGCCCCCCGAAATGTGGTACTCAGGTCCCGGAGCCATGGTGGGCAGGATGCCCTTTGGAGCCCCCACCGCTGGAGCCCCCGGATGCATCAAGACAGAGCTGGGCCCCTGGATGGACGGCTACCCAGGACCCTATGGGGAAATGAGGTAAGGACCCATGGGTGGGCACCAAGAAAGAGCCCCTCATCTTTCATTGCCATTAAATGCCTTTACTCATAGTTTACTACCACATAGTTTACTACCAATTTTCTATCAGGCAGTTTCCTACCTTTGTGTACTGTTTACTTTTGCATAGAGTTCAGTACTGGGTCGTTTACATACAGCGTACTTATGCATACAGGTTGCTCCCAGGCTGCTTACTATTTTTGCGTATTGTTTACTTTTGCATAGAGTTCACTACTAAATACTTTGCTACATTTGCGTACAGAGTTCTTATGTATTCAGTTCACTACTAGGCACTTTACTATTAGGCTGTGTACTACCTTTGTGTACGGTTTCCTTTTGCATACCATTTGCTGCCAGACAATTTATTACCTTTGTGTATAGCTTACTTTTGCATACAGCTCACTACTGGGCAGTTTACTATATTGGCTCATGATTTAATTTTGCAGTTTTCTACCAAGCAGTTGGCTAGCTTTGCGTACTGTTTACTTTTGCATACAGTTATTACCTTTGCACACAGTTTCCTCTTGCAAATTACAACCAGGCAGTTGACTTACCTTTGCATACCGTTCGCAACTGGGCAGTCGACAACCTTTGTTTGCCGTTTACTTGTGCATAGTTTAGTACCAAGCAGTGTAGTACATTTGCATATGGTTTACTTTTGCAAATTACAATCAGACAGTTTGCTACGTTTCCGGAGAGTTTTCTTCTGCACATAGCCTACTACTTGGCAGCTTACTACCTTCGCATGCAGTTTATTACCAGAGAGAATGGAGCAAAGGGAAAAGCCTTTATATTTGCAACAGGTGGATATTGGGAGGAGAAGGCGGCCTTTTGGGATTGGCCCTTCTCCCTTTTCTTCTTTCCCAATGCTGGTGTTCATTTTCTATCTTTTTATTAGAGCCATAAACTTCATGCTTGGAGACTTCATTGGGATTGCCTTGGCACAGTGAACGTTTGTCTTCCTTTCTCCTTTCCTTGTTTTAGCAACAACAGCTTTCCCTTTTGCAGCAGGCAATTGCCGGTTGGAGGATTGACATGTGCAAATACGCTTCCTGCAAATCCATCATAAATACGGCACTAAATAATTTGGAGAACTCTCTCTGTCACTCCCTTTCCTTTACACAGACGTAATGCACTTGGCTTTGGATTTTCTAGCATTAGTGAATGGTTAGAAACTGCAAATATGTGTATATAATAATTTCCTCCCTTTCAGTGCAGAAACAGGATAATCCAAGCTCTTGCTATGTGAATATATTGTTTTCAGTTGCTTGGGTTTGCAGCAGTATTTTAGGATCCCAACCCGGTTTGGTTCGGCTGCCGAAACGTGGCTCTGAGCTTGGAGTTTGTTTGCTTTGGCCAACTTTGCGTGAGTCATTAAGGAAGGGAGTTGAGCCAGAATTTCCATCCTAAAATCAGAAACATTGGGAAGTGATTTCGCGACCCTTTAGAAACATGGAAGCTGGGGGTTCATATTTCAGCGAGCCGTGCTCCGCAGACACACACACACATGTTGCTTTTTTTAGATATCCAAAAGCAGCCTCTTAATGGTCGAGCGAGTTCTAAAACTTCTAAAAGAAACATATCTCCTTTTTTTTCTTTGCATTTTGAGAAGCAGCCATAGTAAGATACTAAATCTGTATTTAATAAATATGGATAGAGAGAATATATTCCCTGCTGGGTTTTGATAGCTTCAGATAATGAATTAAGAGTGCGTATATTTAATTAAAGCTTCCTGCAATGAACATGTCCCCAGATTTCTAGAAAAAGACTCCAAAGGCCATTTGATTGGCAGGAAAAGATTATTTGGATATCTAATCTTGCAGTAAATGTAATTCTATTCTCTTTCTGGGGAAGAGACCCTTTTGACAGACTTCTCAATTGAAATATTGATGCAGAGAAAGCCAAACCTTTCAAGCGGACAGTCCTTTTGCTTTCAAATGCATCTCAAAAGATATTGTTTCTTGACAGCAGATTGGCCGTAAACATATTAAAGTAATAGTGAAACGAACCCAAAAGTTTGGGCTTTGCTACAGTTTCCAAGAGCTGCATCCATTCCCAAAATGTATCCCAACTCAGGTGCAAAACAAACTGGATTTATCTCAACCGTTTCCAAGACATAACAATGTTAAAGGCTGCGTGAATGAAGGGCGGAAAGAAGAAAGCAGTTTTGGAAGGGCCACTTATTTCATTTCTTGACCAAACAAAAGGCAATTTGAAAGTAATGGTTGTGTATCCAAATGGACACCCAGTGACTAATTTATTTAATTTGATTTCCCACATCCATTTGAATGCTTTCGGCAAGTTGTCGCAAGCCAAAAAAAAAAAAAAGGAAAACAATCTCATCGTGTTTACTTTCTGCAATTCCAGATTAGTTGTGCTATTTCTGAAAAGACAAAAAAAAAAAAACCGCCCACTGTTTTTCTTCCCTAAGCTTTGAAAAGTATTCTTGGGATCACTCTTCTCCTATAATCATTCAGGTAATAGCTGCCAGCCGGCGGGATTATAATGGAAACGGCTCGGATGGATATCTGTATTTCCTGCTCTCCATTGACCCCGTTGTAATAAAATCAATTTCCCCAACAATCTGAATATCAGGGCTGCGTGCCGCTTCCACTTAAGAACCTGTTGAGGGGAAGAATAGCTCAAAAGGAACAATTCTGTTTTTTTGAAAAATCGGAAATCTCGCTGTTTCCCACAGCGCTTTTTTCTCTAGTAAATCTATTCTAAGTTGGAGCCGGGTATGCTTTAGAGCACGTAAAGGGATTTTCGCCATTGCTGGCGATGACAACAACACTTTATGGCTCCTTGTATGTCTATTAATATATGTAATATAACATAATATATATGGTATGGCTATATTTTGCCTTTGGATATCCTTGGCGTGAAGCTTAGTGAGCTGAAATTGGCACCGGGACGGACATTTCTCCATGGCGAAACCATACGTTGAAGCAGAGGCTTTCGCTTCCAAAATCCATTGGTCAAGAGGTTTATTGCCCCCAACTTATGTTAAAAAAGACTAACAGATATCTATTAGCAGTGTTAGATTTCCTTATCAGTATGATATATACATGTATGTATGTATGTATGTGTATGTATTCTTTTCTGTGATGCAACAGGTACCAATCGAAAGCGCTGACTCTTTGAAGGAGAGGTTTACGTGGCTATTGGGTTGGGAGCCATATCCCTAGACTTGTATGGGACACTGGAGAGATTATAGAGACTCGATGCTTTGTATTTGAGAAGCCAAGGCTCTCATAAAACCCGGGTTCGAATCCCACCAAAGCCACACATTCTCAGCCCGAGAGGAAAGCCATTGTGATGCAACATTGCAAAGGAAATTTGGTGAGATCTCTGGCATAAATTGGCAACGTGGGGTACTGTATCAAGGTTTGCATCCTGGCCTAGGACAAATCCAACACCAGCAATTTAGAAATTAGAAACACCAAAAGCTTGTTGTAGGAAAGCTCTGGATTTTGCTTTTGTTTCCGGAGACTATGAGGCACGGCTTTGCGTTCCCCATGATGTACTTTAAAAACTTCCTTATTTTCTTGTTTTTGGCAACCGGCGAAGCCATTTGCTGTAGAAGTGGCCATAAAACCCAATACAGTGTGACCGGTAACTTTGCTCCTGGAAGGCATGATCAGGGCACAAACGCAACCAGCCTATTCCTCGCCATTATGGGATGTCATGATCCAAAAGGGCGAGTCCTAATACTAACCGTTGACTTAACCCAAATGCGGTTGGAGTGGTTGAAATCCACACTCTTTTGTTGCCTGTTTATCAGGGCAATTGACTCTAATTTAGGGTCTCATCACAGTGATAGGTGGAGGTCTACTACCGTTGTTGTTATTTAGTGGTTGTTGGTGGTAATTAATGCCTATTGATCTCTATAGCAAGGGATATCGCCGTTGATAGTTTGATCCTCCTCGTGGCCCAAGGGAGATTGCAAATTCAACCACTCCACCGAGATATTGCAGAGGGAGTCTTACTATCCTTATCTATCGTAATGTATAAGATAGACTAATACAATAGAGTAAAAATATTATGATGATTATGATAATAACATCATAACAACAGAGCCAACTAGAAGCCGTAGGCTGGCCTAAAAGGGACTGAGTTTGGGGTCCCTTTCATTTCGTTGTGACTTTGAGAAAACTTTTAGTAATTTCTGAAAAATTAGAAGTTTAATTGGAACTTCTCATTTTTCGGAAATTAGAGATACACCAAGGAAATGATGGAAAGGGGTTTCCTTGGTGTATCTCTCTCTTTCGACCATCTTGCTTTGTATCTCTCGCTTTCAACCATCCGCCATTTTCTCTTCTTTACGGCGAGCTATTTCGTGGCCTCCAACTTTGCAAAGTCTCTTATTTGGCACCCCTTTGTTTACATAACAGGTAAGGGACGGTATTTGTAGTACACTTACAGCCATTGCTAAGTCAATAGTAACAATAATAATTGCATGGAGTCCCTTGGAGGAAAGTATCGTTCCACAATGTCCCGAGCCGTAAGATGCGTCGCCATTTTGTCGAAGAAGGAAGGCAGCCATGGGCACACCGAGGCCCTCTTGGGTGCCGAGTGTTGACAAATTTGCACACTTCCTGATTGTGGTTTGCACACTTGGGTGCATTACTATTTGTTGTTTAAGTGAACCATAAAGCAGCAAAACGGTGCCGACGAGAGCCATTGCCTTTTCTGCCGCTTGTCAAGAAGCCGCGTTGACTCGGAGAGCGTCTTTAATGGTCTAAGTGGGTCTCGGTACCCGAAGCACTTAAATTGCCACCGGAGCGGAGCGTAATACCGAGAGGCACATTATTTATCTCACCGCACCGGTTTCGGAAAAGGATGGAAATGTCATCGAATCACCATGAAGAACAGATTAATCCAAGTTTGTTTCTTTTCCCCCCAAAAGTACATTTGACTATCTTTCCTTGGGCCCCGTTCGGCCCTTTGTGGAATCCAAAACAAGGTCTCCCATCGACGTT